CCTGAAGGAGAGAGGCTTTAGGGAAACATTTTCATCTACTTGGTCTGTTTTAAAAATCATCCTTCAAAAGATTGGGACCCGTCTTCTCCCTTCCTCTCATTTTGAAGTTTTGGCTGCTGAAAAGAACATATAATAACATGAAATAACATATAATAGGTTAGTTCCAAGAATCTTAGCCCAGCTCTGTCAGTTCTGGGGAGGCAGTATTACTTTCTTCGACTAATATTGCTGCCCAAGCCAGATACTAGGCTTGCGGTCCGGATGCCCAGGGTCACCTGGGAGGAGGGGTACCAATCCCCAAAATTTCCAGAGAAAGAGAAGCGTAACCCAGCCTGCAGGTAAAGGACACTAAGGAGGAAAATAAGCATCAAAAGGTGTGTCCTCGCCTGTCCCCTGCTCCCCTGGCAGGCACGGATGTCCTTTCTCCTGCAGCTGCCAGGTGTGTTTGAAAACATCCAAGCTCCATCCTTCACGTAGCAGGAAATAAATATCTCCAGCGATGTGGGCTGGTGTGTGCGCGCGCGCGCGTGTGCGTGCGCGCGCTCCCTGAGTGCCTGCATCTATCATACAACCACAATCCAGATTCCAGCTGTCTCGGGGTGCCAGTGGTTACCATGGACAATTTGGGTGAGTTTGATGCAGAAAGTGAGATGGAGCTAAGCACGTGTTGGGGGAGATACACGCTGGTGTCCTGGCTAAGAACCAGAATGGTCCTGGAAGTCACAGCCCCCTCTCGGGATCGCAGCCCGCCCTCCTGCCCAAGGCTGTCCCGCCTACCCTCGCCCTCTTCGCAGGAGTTAAGGACCTCCCCGCTGGGCTGGCTGCTCTGCGGTTCCCCCTGCACCGGGCCCTGCAACAGTGGCCGGTGCCCCACTACCACCACCACCACGCGGAGCCCCAGCCCCCCAGCGTCTGTTCGCTGGTGCACAGGGGAGTTACTGGATCGCGCTGAGGGAGCACGGCACTCAAGAAGTGTGGACTCGGGGCTTCTGCTCCCGCCTTGGGTTCCCCCAGGGCTGAGGGAAGTGACCTCCGTGGCCTGCCAGGGATGCCCCAAGGGGCTGCAGAACTGTGGACGACCTGGCGCCGGGGCCAGACCAGGGATTTTGCCGGCAGGTGCTTCGGCTCCCTTTTTCTTCTTCCGTTCCTCTTTCCCCTCCCTCCTCACCCTGAAGTAAGATGAGCATGATGCTGTGGCGCTGGGAACAGAATAATTCCACCATGAAGCTGGTAAGGGCACACCACAGACTCTCAAGCTCCACTCTGGACTCTTCCCTGACAGCCTGAATTGTTACTGAAGTGGAAAATCCCCCAATCCGCAGTTGGTATTTCTCTGTTTTGAAGGTGCGCGCGGGTGTGTGTGTGTGTGTGTGTGTGTGTGTGTGTGTGTGTGTTGTGCATGTGTGTTTTTGAAGGGGGCACAGTTGAGATAATTAACTCCCCATCCCTTCCACTTACGAATTCCTGAGGTACTGTGTGGTTGCACCTCCAGGTCATCTCCTTGGTGCAGAGCCGGATTCTCTGGGCCAGCATGGTCTGCCTCCTGGACCACTGCCCAGCATTGTGTTGTAGTCCTTTAGAATGCACGTGGGTACTGCTCCCTTGTGTACTGGCTCGTTTGGGGTTGGGGGTGAGAATAGGTGGCCCCTCTACTTATTCCCCCTCACAGTGTTGTGGTAGTTGCCTTTAAGGCTTGCAAGAAGCCTCCCGGGTACTTTTGCGCTCGGTTTTCAAAATTAGCCGCTGCTCACTCCCGGGAGAAGAGAGGCCAGCAGTGCTTTCCTCGCTACTCAGGGCAGGTTAAATTGTTTTCCCATCCCGAGCAGGAAACGTGATCCAAAGGCTCTTCTCCTGGCTTTGGCTTTGTGAGGTTTTTTTTTTTCCTGCCCCCCCCCCTTGCAGATGGTTTCTAGCTGGCAGGGATTGTGATTCCCCCACTAAAGTCAGAGTACTATGATCTAGTCAGTATCCTCAGCATGCATTGGATAAAGGTTCCCACTTTGCAGATCTAGGGCTGAGCTTGATATATAATATCAATGAAGCCCAATGAAGAATAGGGTGGATAAGCTGGAATTCATACTTTTTGTGGTGATATCATTAAAGAGGCTACTTAAAAAAACAACACCAGCAAAATAATGGACATCGAGCCTGAGTCTTCACATAATGAAGTATTTGTTGGAAAAGTGCACCTTAGTGTTCACACTGCGTGTGTTATGATTGGCCTGTGTAACCTTAAGCGACTATTTAACAGCTTGGTTTAAGGTGCTGTAACATTAGCAGACATTACGTGCCTTTGCTGCTCCCAGGTTGTGATTACACCTTCTTAATCCTTTCCTGGAACCTTCTCCCAGCTTGCTATGGGAGAGCTAGCATTGCCCTTGCTTCCTCCCGAAGCTGTGCCTCAGATGCCACTCTGTTATGCAGCATAGGAGAGTCAGGGCCCAGTCTGAATGCAAAGATTGCTAGACCTAAGACTTTTATGGGGAAAAAAAATGGATTCTGTGTCATGCAGGGAAATCATAAAACACCCCAGTAGATGGCATCTGGGGCCTGGTGACAGGTGCCTGAGCTTAGAACTGTGACATCTTCGCTGTCTCTTTAGCCTAAAGAGAGTGCTTTCTTTCACATGGGTCAGGGGTCAGTCTTTATTGGATCTGTCTGGGTCTTTAGACTTGTCTCATTTTCAAATGAACTGCGAGGACCACCTAAGATGGCTGTACCCCTTTTCCCAATCAGGCAGAGCAGGGGTGGGGGAGCTCTGACAACTTGCTAGCATGTACAAGGCAACAGTCACTATCCTGGGTACCCCACAATCCAGTCAGGAAAATGGGGTCTTGACATTCAGAGAGCCTCATGTGTGCCCCCAAGTGGGCCTCAGCTCCTCTTCAGAGTCTGAGGAGCAGCACATACATTACAAATCAAGGTTCTGCTGTGCACTTGCTCTACGAGGGACAGGACCTTAGTGGACACACCGGCTGCATCACTGAGAGTCTTTGCTCACAATTGACTCCTGGTTTTAATCCTAACCTTGCCGTTTACTAAATCTGAACCCATTTCCTTTTCTGTAAAACAGGACTTTGTAGGTCTCTGTCCTTGTACAAAGACGCTACAGGGTAGTCTAAGAACAGGTGCCGGACTAGAGTCTGAAGCACTGGTGTAGTTGAAGTGGGAACGGCCCATCTTCCTGTCGATGTCATTTTCTTTAACAATCTGTGTCCCACTTTGCCTGTGCTGCTGGGCCACTGGCTAGGAGAAAACAAACCTTGCTTATCTTTGAATCATTACTGGCCCTCAGCAGGAGGGAGTTCCCTGAGAACATCTTAGAAGTCAATTGTGTGTGAATAACCGCCCACAATGGGCTCTGGGGCCAGAGGTGGGCCGCCTGGACTTTTATCATTGATGCAGTTCAATAAACACCAAGTCGGTTAACCCACAGCTTGAGAAGTCACTGTTCTGGTTGAATAGTGGGGCAGAAAGTTTTACTTCATGTTTTATTTTAAAGCTAATTGGATCAAAAAAAAAAAAAGGTGGTGGGGGGAGGAGAATCATTAGAGGCAAAGTTTGAACCTCTCTGTGTTATCTCTGCAAGGGAATGTCAGAAACGCAGCTGCCCACCTTGGAGAGAAGGCGGTGGCTGATAGATCTTCAATGAAAGAAAGTGAGTGGAGGTGACCACTCAGGCCTGACGCTCCTGCTAGGAGTGGAAAAGCTGAGACACAGCCCGGAACATGATGTGGGTGGCTGTGACATCCTTGTCACCCCCTTAGCTCCCTTCCTTTAAATTCTTTGGTGTTAGGCAGGCCTTGGAGAGACGAGGAGGTGATGCTGGAGCAGCTGGTATCACAGGAGAAGCGGCAGCATCCACCCGACAGAGTGGTGGCCAACAAGGTACCCAGAAAAGCCCTGATCTCCCACTTGGAGTCTGTTCTAGTGCAGAGTCCAGGCTCTGGTTGTGTGACTTCTAGACTTCAGCTTCCTGGTTTGTAACTGGGGACCAGAGCATCTCCCAGGACTGCTGTGAAAATTAGGGCGAAGATGCAGCAGGTTTTAAGATCTGGGCCCAGTTACTAGTTGGTGAAGGGCTGTCCTCTGACTAAGAAGTGGTCCAGAAATGTGTGTGCATGGCTCGACACACAGAGGAGGGAGCAGTGCCCCTCAGGGCCAGCAGGGCCAAACTTGGAGAGCTGTCACTCAAGACTCTTTCTGTTCAACTTTTCCCTGTATCTCACATGTTATACAGTGACCATACATTGGTGGTCAAGAAGAGATAGAAAGGGTTTCTAAAATAACCTTAGTAGCCTGTGGGTAGGGAGACTTCAGTTTGCCGATGACATGGGTTTTGTTTCATCTTCCCACAACTCTGCCAAGCAGAAACTATTTGATAACAGCCCATACTTGACCAGGTAAGGAAAAGGAGGCTCTGAGCTCAGTGACTTGCCTCTGGTTTTCTGGTGACAATGACAGCAGGAGTCACTCTGCTAACTTCAGTGACTTGTGTGCCTCCTAGAGACCCGCAGGGCTGAGGCACAGATAGGGTTGCAAGAGTGTATGACCTGACTGTGCCCTCTGCAGTGTTTCTCTTTGTGGGCCTCTTGGTGAGCTACTCTGACCTATTGTCCTCCCTTACACTGGGGGATGTGGGAACAAGGTGCGAAAGAAAGTCGGGGTTGGTGAGTAATCCGGAAAAAAAAAAAACAAAACACAGGGCCCATTCTCAAAATGATGAAAAAAGTAGCTCTGAATGGGGAATAATGAAAAATAATGATGCTGAATATGCCACTAACCTTTGACCTTTCCCCAGAGGCACTGGTCAGTCTGCACCCCCCCCACACACACACACAACCTGACCTCAGTGAGGCTAATAGAGACATTAGAAGGGGTCAGGGGTGTGGGACCCTGTTTGCCCTCCTATAGTTGTTCTGCTCAGATTCAAAGGCCAGGAAGCAACAGTATTGCAGAGCCTGCTCTGGTCCTCCGGGTGCTATCTCCACAACACTCCTGTGCATGCCCACTTCGGCAGCACACAGACTAAAGTTGGAATGATGCAGAGAAGATTAGCATGGCCCCTACGCAGGAAGGACACTCAAACCTGTGAAGCGTTACATATTTTTAATATCAACCCCAAAAGATGAGTGTGCCTCTTGGGGGTGGGGGTGGGTCAATGGATAAGGTGATGCTGAGCAAGCATGAAGACCGAGATCACAACCTAAGTGTGGTGGCCTGTGCCTGTAACAACACCGCTGGGGGGGTGGAAATAGGCCAATTCCAGAGGCTTGCTGAGCAGCTAGCTAGTTGTCTTGCTGGAGTGGAAACTACAGGCTCCATGAGAGACCGTATCTAAAGGAAGAAGGTGGAGACTGGTAGAGGAAAGCCTTCACCTTGACCTCTGGCCTCCACACACTCAAGTATGGGCAGGCACATCCACCCCCACACATGCACCATGCACTAGCAACGCGAGTGCCTCTTCGGTGTTTTCCTTTTCCGGCTTGAAATATAATTTCCAGATAAAGAAAAGAAAGGAATATTGAAGGTGTTCGATGTTATGATTTTGACATGTGTACGCACACCGCGGCATGATTACTACCGCGACACTAACACACAGACACACACACACACACACACACACACACACACATCCCTGCTGCAGTGAGCTCTTCCTCACCGCTACCTGAGTAGGCTGCTTCTCATTCCATCAGCCACACCGTGCGCAGTAAAGCTCACTGGCTCTCATTTGAAGTGGCGCCCATCTTTCGCTGGGAAATATTAGTTATTTCTGCTCTTGGGCAGTGTGAGGTTTTTCTCTGCTTTCCACTAATTGTAACTGGCGTAGACTTTTCCATCTGCTGGCTACTGAACTCTGTCTGTTTTCTGTTAGTCCTTTAATGCTTACGGGCAAGACATTCCACCCTTTCTCCAAGAAGCCAGGTTGGAGTAGACAGGAACGCTTCCATATGAATCTCTACTGTGCGCAATAAGCCTTGGTATTTATTTCAGCCTAGAAACCGACGCATATGCAGAAGGTTTAGCTTTGGTTAATTACTGGGGTGGTAAGGACTGGAATATAGAAGAAGAAAACAAAATCCCTGAAATTAGCAAGTCACTTCTTTGGATGACATTTGGGGTGGTTACACATTTTCCTTCATTTTTGTGTAAATAGAGATTTATAATTAGTTCCTCTGGTGTCCCAGCTGTGCCTGCATTATTGACATAATTGTTTTGGTATGGAGTTAGTACAAAATATATATATTTTTTTTTTGGTTTCTATTTCTGACCTCTACTATATAATGCCACCTACCCAGAAGACATGTGGCTAACTAAGCTTTTCTTTAGGGCCTCTAATCTATCTCGGACATGGAGGCTGCTGTCATTCCCAGCTGGTCACCAGCCCAGGGCTCTTCCCAAGGGTTGCTCTTGGGATTTACATGTCATTGCAGATGTGCTGACTGTGATGTGAAAAGAGTTACAGGCTGAGAAGCGGTGAGACAGTCAGAGCACCCAGCCAGCTACCCAGGATGCTGTGGGGTGATATGGGTCTGCTACCCAGGATGCTGTGG